AGAAACATGGATGTGCAAATTTAAGGCTTTTTTATGTGCTAAAACCAGGTTGCTAGCTAACTATTTTTTTCTGGAACTTGGGACCTTAAAGAATATTATCTCACTCAAGCAGTGGTATATGCTTAATCATGAATTTCTAAATGGTTCTTGAAAGGGAGAATAGGAATTTGTGAGATTCTGCAGTCATGGAAAGAAAAAAGCACAATAAGTTTGGGCAGATAGAGAACAATATATGGTAAAGGGTTGCTTCCATTTGAAAATTATTTTTAGACTAATAACATAGAATGTGCTATACATTTTAGAGACAGACATCAGAACTCATCAAAGCCAGTGGTTTCAAACTTATTACATTAGAATCACGGGATATTAAAAACTACAGGTCCTAAATTCCCACTCCCAGAGTGTCTGATCCCACTGGTCTTGATCGGAACGGGATGAGAAGCAGACACCACAAGTATATTTTCAAAACTCTCCAGCAGCCGCAGCAGAGATCTATAGCTCTAGTGCACTCTTCACATTTTTGGCATGAGGCAACTGTGATCTGGTAAATAAAATAATAACTACATTGTCTCATATCAGCACAGTTTATAAGCCCCCAAGCTAAATTTAGGACCCAAGTATCCAAATTCCTAGTCTGTATCTCTGTAGCAGTTTTACACCACTCACATGTTGGATAATGGTAGTTAGACACATTTGAGTGGATACCATTTCCCTGCTCACTAGCCCACTCTAATTCTGGGGAGTGCTTTTCCTGTCTTAATAAACTGCCTCTATTTTCCCTACCAGAAAAAATAGTAGTTAGAAAATCTAAGATTGTCTTCAGCCAATATGAAGATTAATTCCTCTCCTCCTAAGGACCTGTGTGCTCCCTTTCTTGCATGAAATAAATCTTCAGACACTTACGACAGCACTGTGATGGTTACACGTGTTTATTCTATATTTTAGAACATTTATTTGAAACTTTGACCTTGTCTTCATCACATAAGAGTCTCTCTTCTATGTCTTGTAATCTGTTGGTGAGGATTACCTCTGAAGTTTTTGTTTGACTTACTAAATTTTTCATATGCAGCTTTATTTTAGTCTGAGTTTTCTTTAGTGATACTATTTCTTCATTAAATTCTGTTTTCATGTCTTGAACTGTTTTCATTATTTCATTCAACTGTGGTTTTATAAACTTCAATAGGGGATTTACTCATCTATAACATATTTGAACATATTCAAAATTGCCATTTGGAAGTTCTTTTCTTATACGTCAGCTGTACTGAATTTCTCAGGACTTACTGCAATAAAGATAGATTTCTGACACAGTCTTTGCTGTTCATCTTTGTGGTTTTGTACTGGGATCTATGCATTTGAAGTTACGATGTTTGAGGTGTTTTGTGGTGTTGGTATCTAGTCTTGTCTTTGTTGGGTAGGTGTCCCAATATTTGGTTACTATTGCCTACTCTGAATCCTAAGCAAATGTACTGACTGTGGGGTCCCTAGTAGAGAGGGCTTCTGTGAGTCAGTGAGTGACAGAAAGGAATGGAGGTGGGCTAGGATGAAAGCCTGAGAGAGGCCTCTGAGAAAGCAAAGGGGACTCTGGGTCTGCATCAAGAGGTGGAGTTCCCATGGAATGAAGGTAGGGTAGGAGGAAGGCCTCCTGCAGGAAGGCAACTACAGGACTAATTCTGGAGAGATAAGAATAGAGGACAAGGAGGATTGTGAAAATCTCCTACCTGAGTCCCAGTCTAGTGTGGCTGGCTGCTTGAGGTTCCTATAAAAAGGATTTCTGAGCTTCTGTGACTGAAGAAGGAATAGAGATGGTCTAAAAGGGAAAGCTCAGAGGGGAGGAGCTAAACTGGGTCATCATCAAGATTCAGAGTCCCCAGAGAATAAAGCTAGGATGGGAGGAAGGGCTCCTGAAAGCAGGCTGTTACATGAATAAGTCTAAATCATTCACATTTTTAGGAAAGGAAATATGTAACATTTCAATCTGAACGCAGTTTAACCATTTATTATTGAGTTCATGCAGCTGTACACATGGGAACACTCAGATGTCAGCATGAATATTCTTTGCCAGATTCCTTATACGATAATACCTTTAGGTTATCTCTCCCATTGAATTCTAAAAGTCTATACAAGTAGAGTTTGCCCCCACTCCAACACATTAACTGTCTCACAAAAGATAGCCCCATTTTTGACACAAAATCAGCACTCAACAGTAAGTTGCTGAATGAAAATTTCATTAGCTTTTAGTAAGAAATGGGGCATTGATCATTAAACCAACCTGTATAGGAAAATCAAACATGAATCAGATCAAAATGGAGGGATGGCTGTATAAAGTAGCAGTTCCACAATTACTTTATACAAGAGTTTGATCTAATTCATTGAGATTTTAAAAGGGCTGATTAAAGGTTACAATTAATGTGCTTTATGATTGCAGTAGTCATTTGTTAATGAGAAAAATGAAGAAAGTATACCTGGTACTATAAACATGGCTGCTACACATGGCTGCTAAAGTTATGGATGCTAGAGGATAACCTACTGCTTTCACTTCCCTAAGGAAGTATAATTCCAAACCACATTCTATATATGTATTCTTGTGCCCACAGATAAGTGTAGCTTTCTCCCCTAATCAAATTTTGCAGCAAATGGACACAATTACACAACTGGTCAAAATGCAGAGAACAAATGTCTGTAGGGTGCCTAGCCCCAAATGACATCTGCAACACAACACCCACTCCTAAATCTCAGGGACCATCATACAAGAATGGGTACAAAGATTAAATGAGACAGAGGATCAGGATATCTGCTGTGAGATAGTATCTTCTATATATGACAGGGAGCTGCACCCATAAAAATCTTAAAACTGTGGCCACCTAAACAAAACTACAAAATGAAAGCACTAGTTAACATGTCAACATGCATAGGGGAAATCTCCCAAGGCCCCACATCTAGATGAAGAGTTACAGGGAATTAATGGCTGCTAGGAAAGGGGGAATCAGTCTTCTCCATGGATGCCCCCTGATAAGCTACCCAATTCCAAATGGTTAGCTTTAAACATGTACATATGAAAAACACTTGATGGAATCAGCAGGATGTATTTATATAAACTCTCTCTCTGTGTCTCTCTGTCTCTGTCTCTGTCTCTGTCCCTCTCTCAGACACACACACACACACACACACACACACACACACACACACACACACACACGTAATAGTTGCAATAAAAGAAGACACCATGAACTTGAGAGGGGGTTATTATAGAAGTTGGAGTGGGGAAGTGCAAGGGGGAAATACAAGACTCATGTATGAAATTCTGAAGCAATAATAAAATAAACATAAATATCAAACAAACAAACAATGAATAACTAATGTCAAATGAATGAGTCTTCCATATATGGAAAATGGTGGCATGAAGTGTCTAACTCACAACTAGTATCTCTCTAGCTCAAATCTTAAGTCATTACCAGGTTTCAATGCAATACTCAGTCATGTTTATGGCTGTCTTTACCAAAGGCACTTTATCACAATGTGCAGTGTTGATAAAACAAGGCTGTGAGGACGCTACTGAACTCTATTATTCATTTTCAAGCAGCATGTATTTCTCACAGAGGGAAGTAGCATGTGGGTACTAATCTGGCAAAGTAAGACACATGGAAGTCAATCTGTTCTCCTTCCTGAGTTCTGCAGTGGCCCATCTGAACACATGAACTATAATTTACCCTAACCATTCTGGAATGCTTGCACGTCTCTTTAATCCATGTACCATCATCTCTCTACTCATTGTGTACTCAATGAAGTAGACTAAAATACCCACCCTTGCCTTTCTTTACCTATCCAGGTCCTCCTGTAACTTTAAAACCTCATTTGAATGCACTAGGTACAATCTGTCCTCACTTCACTTGGGATACAGATGAGCTTATATTCATATTATGTTCAAAGTTCTCTATTTGGCATACTTTTAATATGTGACTGAAGGTAGTACAGGCATAGAGCTAACAATGATGAAGTAATATTAATACCAAGTTTTCTTATATTTTAGGAAATACACTGTTATCATTATCAGTAAGCTAAGAAGTGCAGTAGATTACATACCATTATAAGAAGCAGTAAGCCATCCAAAACAGAAGATAATTTGATCAATGGCTATTTAGAGATATATTGGTATCAAGCAAGTCATTTAAATTTCATCTTTTAAGCTCTACCCCCTGACACCCCCGTTTGACTCAACTATATACTCTGATCCCAATTGTCTCTAAGGTGATTTGTCTTTCACATCAAGTAATCAAAACAATTTTTTGTCTTGCATCTAATTTGTGGAGAAATAATCAGCACAAAGTATCACTGGCATTGATAAAAATGGTATGTTTGAATATGGTAAAGATTCTTACTGGCCAAAGATCGATGTTAAAAATCAATACTGGAAATACTGTCTTGCTGCAGATATACATGCCAAATGATGAATATTTAATCTCCACTATATAGCTGAAATGAACTAGAGGGCCAGTGGGGAAACAGTGTATAATTAAGGGATTCATCTTAAATTAAATGGTAATGATAGAGCAGAACCATGAAGGGGTCATGATAAAAGCCCCTAACAAGAACTCAGTAAAAGGGTTTTTGGAGAAAGGAAAAATGAATGAATGCCACTCTTCATATATTTATAGTATAATACTGGAGTTTTGAAAACTTGTTTTAAAACAATCTAATCAAATGTATAGATTAGTAAACAAGATTTGGGAAGGTAAATACTGAATATAGCATAGGTTTTTCTGTTTGTTGATTAATTAAAATGATCACAGTCATTATTTTTATATTTAATTTATCTGCCTTAAAAGTCATTGAATTATATTTGCACTATGAATAATTTAATTGAACTCAAACGATTACTCACTATTCTAAGAACCTCCTACACCAACAGTTAACTATAATTTATCCTTATAACTCTAAGGAATTTTAAGAACCTTCCATCAAATCTGACTGACAGTCTGTGCTTCCTGTCTCTATTCTCCCAGGAAGAAGATGTTACTCGTGAAAGTCGTTTTAACTTCAGTGGTTATGGGATGGGTCACTGCCTCCAAGTGAAAGATGGCACAGCTGTCAAGGCTACACCTGCCAACCCACTTCCACAACCCCCAAAAGATGCAGATGCCATCAAGAAGAAGTTTGTGGATCGGGCAAAAAGGATTGACACCATATCTCGAGCTGCCTTCCCACTGGCCTTCCTCATTTTCAATATCTTTTACTGGATCACATACAAGATCATTCGGCATGAAGATGTCCATAAGAAATAGATGTACCCTATTAATCCTGGGAACTTCTCTCCTAAGTGTTGTGCTTGTAAATACACAGTAATATTGTCTTTATATCACTTTGACAGAGAAGAACATTGAGGGAGGGGGGAGGGAGATCATGAGGGTGGGGTTTCTGGCACCTACATGAAAAAAGACAAGTTCTATGGGCAATGAAGAAAACTGCACAAAATTAAGGTGTTGCAGAATCACATGAGCATAACTCCCATCCATAGTGTTTAGCATTGTTCTTTCAGATGACACATCACTCAGACATGATGTGCAAAGTCAAGTTCTCGAGGGCTGATTATCTTATGATTTGATTTGGTTTTGATGAGTTCTGGTACTGAAAAGTTAGCTTAACGCACACACGTGTGTGCTCAAGCACACAAACACACACACACACACACACGCAAACAGACACACACACACATAGACACACACACAGACACACACACGGACACACACAGACACAGACACACACAGACACACAGACACACACACACAGAGACACACACACACAGACAGACACACACACACACACAGACACACACACACACTGAAAAATGCTTACCATCTGACCATAGTGACTAGTCTACAGTAAATTGAGGACCAAACTTTTTCAGGAAAATGCTGCCTCGTTTTTAAAACAAGCTTCCTGAGCTATGATCTTTACAATGTCTGTAATTAGTGTTTCACCCAAGAAATCCTTTTGTGGGTTGTAAATTCTTTATACTTATCCGGAAAACAACAACAACATAAACACAAATGACAAAGAACAGATTTCTACTCTACTGTCTGTGTAGGTGTGCACTTTGATATTATTTTTCTTTCCTAGATGTAAATTGGGGGTTTCATTGTGTATTGTGTAATTGATTTACCAGTATATCCTCTTAAAACAAATGCTCATTTATTTTAGATCAAGTTAGCCTACTGTGTATATTTTTTCCACTTTGGCTATATTTACGTGTGACTTTAAGTGCCCAAGTGTAACTTAGCTATTGCAGCTGCTCAACCACAGTATTTATGAAGGTGGTGTGTTCTGAATGGTGTAGCTCAGATTAGCTTGAACTTCCTATTTCTGCTCTCATTGTAGCTGTAACTACCGTCCTAATGTTGACTGACCTGTAATTTCTACTTTCAATCCAAGTGAATATCGTTTTAAATATCCTTAATTAACTTTAAAAATGTAAAATTGTACTGTGATTTTCATAACCCGTTGCCTTTTTGGTACCAGAGCTACGTGGTTTGAATCCTGGCTTACATGTTTTAAGTAAGAAAAAAAAAAAAGATGTATTTTTGCTTACTCAACAGACAACCTGTAAAAATATATGGAAATAATTACATTTTACATGTGCTGTAAAAGGGATTATTTTAAAAAAGCATTTGTTCAATTTCAATAAAGATAAGTGTGCCACTAAGTTATCTAGCATCTTTCATTTTCTGTATTAAAATATAAATCATTTATGTGGCAATAATAACTTAGATGTTCATATGTAATCTGCCTCATAAAGTTGAATCACTTATATAGTTATATTATTTTCTTTTTATTATAATATTCTTGAGAATTTCATACATGTACACAATGAAATACGGTCATACATACCCTCCAGTTCCTCCTTCACTCTTCTTAGCATTCCATCCCCAAAGCTCAAAGAAACAACATTGTGGAAGGCGAAGCAGAAAGAATATAAGAATTGGAGGATGATGAGGGATGCTGTGAACTGTTGTCTGCTGAACATGACAGGTGATAGCTATTATATTTTTGATGCTTAAAGTAGTCAAGATACTTTTCTTATGTAAAAATATAGAAATGGGTCAGGTGGGGTGACACACTCAAACAATCTTAGCACTCAGGAGGTAGAGGCAAAATAGGATTATCATGTGTTCACCCAGCATGTACCCCATGACAAGTTCGAGGAGAGCTATGTATAAAACTCTACGAGACAGACAGAGAGAGAGAGAGAGAGAGAGAGAGAGAGAGAGAGAGAGAGAGAGAGAGAGAGAGAAGCATTAGTAGTAACCAATATGAAAAAATTTAAAACTGGCCTCATTATGTGAGACATTGAAAATTTCCAAGCTACCTGAGAACAATAAATCTGACAGTGATATGAAACTTTAAAGATCAACTGTTCCTGTTTGCCATCCAGATTTCCATCAGGAATAGGGACCTAAGATGAAAGAAAAATTCTGAGAACCTAAGAGAAATGGAGTTAACTCACTGTAACTTTTGCAAATTTTCTATAACTAAAGCTATGTATAATATTCGCAAGAAGATGTTCACTTATAAGCGAATGATTATAGCCTTGAAATCTATATAAATATTAATTTTTCTACAGGAAAGGGTAGTGAGAAGTGGGTAGAATTATAAATTTTGAAGTGATCTTAGATTAAGTACTTAATTCAAATAGATTGTAGTTTGTAGTTTCAAAATGGCTGACTAGGGAAAATGAATTTGAATCCATTATTACCATACTCATCACATGTATTCTCAAAATCCAATAATAGAAAATCTGTTATTATGAATAGTATAGTATTAACTATTCTCTGCACAAGACACTTCAGAAAACCTATTCCTGGCAAATTGACTGTCATGCCTTTTGCATCATTTCCAAAAGATGACTTATGATTTTTATATTGTTTGACAAAGTAGGGTGAAGTCTCTGTTCTCCATTTTTTCCCTCCGTTGGCAAAATATAAAATTAAGACTAATATTCCTCCTCAAATGGACCTGACTCTAGAAATGTCATAGAAAGGGCACTGCCCTAGTTTCCTTTCTTTTGCTGTGATAAAAACCTCTAATCACAAGTGACTTGGGGAGAAAAGGGTTCATTTGCCTAGAGGAAAGAGGCTATATTTTCATGGGTTTTCCACATGCCCACCAAGCCTAAAATGTTCAGTAGGTATGTGTAATAATCCTAGAAAAAATAATGCTTTGTCAGTTGGCAGAGTCACGTGAGTTTCCCCAATACAGAAACCCCATGAGGTACCCATCTCTTGCTGCAGTTTTCAGACAATAGCATGCCTTTAAAAAAAAAATGTTTTCGAGTTCCACTATTTACCTTTTAAAAGTTCATCAGAATGACTTCCATTTGGAAGTTTTTATGGTGTATTCAAATAAATACCTTAGCCCGGAATAGCTGCTACAAACCAGACTAGCTAGAGATATTCCAAAACCTTTCTAAAGAGTGCTAGCATTAAACTCTTCATCTTTGCCACCAACCAGAATACCAAATTCAGAAAGCAAAATTGCCAGTAAAGATTAAATGAATATCATTTTACATTTCACTTACTCCATTAATATCAAATAAAAATGCTATAACCAAAGCACAGCACAAAATTCCATATTAACCGCTTTGGAAAGATATATTTTTAAGGATTTATTCATTTTCCAGTTTAAGCATGAAGCCAATTTGCTGAATGAATCTAAATTTTATGTCTGCTAGATATCCTTTTTAATTATTTTAACCTGTGCCTCAAACATTTTCTTAGTGTCACCAATTTGTTTTTTAAATGTATAATTTGAATGAGGCAAACATTCTTTTCATCAATCACAAAATAAAATAACAGCCACTTCTTCATTCTAGTACTCTGAAAAATATCAACAGGATTTATTTCATCTGAAGCATTGGCCTGCTCACCAAAAACAGTAAATATTATACCCTTTGATCAGCACAACTGCAAAAGCTTTATGGATAAGAGCTCTGCGTCCAATTATTTCTTATATTAGATGTTGACTATCTGCCACAATTTGTCTCTTAATTCTTTTATCTGCATTATGTCACAGTAACTAAACTACCTAAGAAAAGAAAGGCCTGGAAAGTAAACTCATAGTCAATGACCCTCCCTCATGGATGATAAGACAAATTGGAAAAGAGGGCAAACAGTACAATATTCACAATGGAATTGCCTAAGAGAAATAGCTCAAAATTGTGTATGCAGCACAAATAACATCTTCAAAGTGACTACAATGTCTTGTGTGACTGAATGGCCCCAAAGACAATTCAGCTTGAAATCAAGATCAGGAGAACGCAATTTAAAAGGTGTATATTTGCATTTTGACGGAGGGAAAATGACCATGGCTTTGCCACACATGTTCTCCCATGAGAAAAGACATTTTAAAAATCACAAGTAATGCATTTCCCTCAAACTAAAGGTTGTGTGCATTGGATGTTTTTAAGTTGATGAGCCTGCATTTGGCACACAGGATTCTGAAACAAGCAAAGGTACACTTAAACAGGTAAGCAAGGCTTTGGGATGCCCTTTGTGTAGTATGCTGAATGCTCACCAACATTCTTGTGGTAGATCTCAGAACTGTTTTGTTTAATAGATGGCTTTTAATAAGCCCTTGGTCAAACTGCAGCTTCACTCTGGCTCCTCAGAATTCATGGAACCATTCATATGCAAAGATCAGAAATAACCAGCAGTTGAATTCAGTAGCTTATGTTTCTTGAGATGAAAGATTGAAGGTTACAAGGAAGATGAAATAAAGGCAAGAGAGTAAACTGAAATTCCCCTTTAAGACAAATCAAATCACAACACTCTGCTTTGTCTTCTGTTGGTTTTTTGTCTTCCTTCAAGAACAAGTCAGTGTCCTCACTGTGATGTGATCAAGGCTGCTTTCCTACCATGCCCTCCTGTTTCTTTCCCTTCAAGCATAATCACCCTGCCATACTGGTTCTTCAACAAAGTGCTCTCCACAGGGCATTTACCTTCACTATGCACATTCTTTTCCTAGAGAGGTTGACAAGCCTTTTTCTGTATGGATTTAACAGTAAAGTGTTAGGTGAGAAAGTCTCAGTTTTTGTGCAAATATTCTTCTCTGCCACTGTAACAATGAATAGACACAAAAAAATGAAGAAATAAATCCATGGGACTGTGATCTCTTAACACTTTACCAAAAAAGGAAAGCAGCAAAAAGATTTAGCCTGCAGGAAGTGTGTTATCAGTGACCCAGTGACCCTCCCTCTCCCTCTACACACACACACACACACACACACACACACACACACACACACACACACACACACACGCACGCACGCACACACGGAAGCTCCAGATTACAAAGCAAAAATGTGTTTGTGATATTTTCAAGGTCTATATCTGTGCCTGGCACTTACTAGCTGTCTAATTGATATAGCATTTGTTCAGTGAATCATAGTTCACATTTACTGTGGAGCTAATTTAGCATTTGCACAGGAGGTTTAGAGAAAGAACTAGGGAAACTTAGTGCTTCATTAGATAAAAATTGAAGGTTAAAAAAAAACACCAGGTTTTTTCATCTATTTTTTTAAAAGACAGATTTGTACTAGATACACATTTTCAAAAGTTCACTATGAAAATTCCTCAAGGGTCTGTTAGCAGTCCCAATTGCATTAAGTTCTTATAGCTTCCCATAGACTTTTTTTTTAAAGACCAGAAAAGGATATTGTTTTTATAATTCATCTGAGGAAGTATTCAACAAGTATTTATTGAATAGCCAGTAAGCATTGGAAAAATGACATGAATTTAACACACGGAACTATAATTTTCATAGTAACACAAGAACTCTTTAATGCTGCACACAGAACAGGATGCTTGAGCCCTCCTGTCTGAGGGGAGGCTGTAGAGAAGGTACTAAAGTCATGGCCAATGCTTTCTAACCAAAATGACTTTCTGATAGAGCCCCCATCACTTTGGAGGTCCTCAGTATTACGACTTCATAATTTCCCCCATTTTATTCTCTCTCTACTTGACGTCCTTGAGAAAAGGAGACAAATAATAACCTCATTTTAGACATGGAGAAACACAGAGAAAAGTTAGAATTTTTTTTTCAAATCACAAAGAAGGACAGAAACCAAATGAGATCCCACATCTATTTCATGAACTGCTTCATGGGATGCCATGAAAGTGGTTTTCACCCAGGATACAGATAATAACACCAAATACAGCATCTTGCAGAGAGTAGCTACTTAACAAATATAAACAGACTGATGAGTGAAAACATAGCTTTTTTTTAAAAACTAGTTCTCTTGAGGCCCAGAACACTGCCTACAGTGCTTCTGAGGAGGAGATGTCATCCGGGAGACCTCAACTTTCTGTCCCAGATGAAGAGGACTAGCCCTCCTGGACAGGTTCTAACTCACTTTCCCATAGACTTTTAACAGAAGCCATTGACATTCTAAGATGGGAGAGTTCTGGAAGGTACTTCAGGGGGTTTCTTTCATTCTTGACATATTTTTCCTTATCTCTCCCCTGTTGTAGGATATTTGTACACTATGTGGAGGTGTATTGTTGCGATTGGTATAACAAAAAGATGAATGGTCAACAGCTAAGCAGGAGGTATAGGCAGGATTTCTGGGGAGAGAAAGGAAGAGGAGAAGGAATCTAGGCACACAGGAGGTACAAAATGAAAGAGAAGTAATGTCATATGATAAAAACA